TTTGCCAATGAGCTAAATCCCCAGCCTCCCCTCAGGTTGGTTTTGAACTCAGTTTGTAGCCCAGGTTGGCCTCAAACTCACAACAATCCCCTGCCTCACAGTGCTGGGATCACAGGCAGGTGCCACCATGCCCAGCACTGTGTGTGTATTTCATGATAACAACAAGGATTAGGGAAACTGAATGACTTTTCTAAGGTTTCACAGGGGAGAAGACCCTTGACATTAACATTACAGGGATCCCTAGTGAGGACAAGTCTGCACTGCTCAAAAGCACAGAAATCACACAGTATGGTAGCTAAGGGCATGGCCTGACAGACAGACCTGGCTCTGAATCTGGGCCTGACACTTTGTGGCCATGTTAGTTTGAGCAAGTTACTTAACATTTCAGGGCTAAATTTTCTTCATCTGTAAAATGACAAAATGCCATATAACATTTAACATGGAACCCAGTAAAGTTGATTTCATTGACTCCAAGACTTCAGCAATTTTAAGATACATTCTTCTTTCAGGGAATATGTACATGTTAGACTTGATGAAATACGGTATACAAAAAATATGTAACATACTATGTCTGGTGGCACATACCTGTAATCCCAGCACTCAGGAGGCTGAGGCAGGAGGATTGCCATGAGTTTGAGGCCAGCTTGTGCTACAAGGTGAGTTCAGGGCCAGCCTGAACTGTATAGAGAAACCCTGTCTCAAAAAGACTGTGTGTGTGTGTGTGTGTGTGTGTGTGTGTGTGTGTGTGTGTGTACGGCAACTGTTCTCCTATCACAAATGAAAGAAATCTGCTCCTAGAACTGTAGCAAGACGAGATATAACTGCCTTGGGCCGGGGATATACCTCAGCAGCACAGTGCCTGCCTGGCAAGTGCAAGGTTGTGAGTTTGATTCCTGGTACCAAAAAACAAACACACAAACAAACTCACAAAACGAGATACAAATGCCCTATAAAGTGGCAACTCTTGCCCACACAAACCCTCTGGCACTGGGGCTCCAGACCTACCTTTCTTGCCATTGTTGGAGGGTGTAGACTTCCCACTGTCTGAGTTCAGCTCAAACACCCGTAAGTCTGTGGGCACCTCCTCCCTCAGAGTTTCTACTCTGGCTGGAGGCCTGGGCTCTGGGCCACTAGGGCGGCCAGCAGGGGTGAGGGACTTGGAGGGAACTGGGGGTGGAGGTCCAGTCTCGCCTTCATCCACAGCCAGGCCCTGTTCCTCCAAAGACGCCTCCAGCAGCTTTTGAGACAGGTCTTTAGGCAGCACTGGTGCCTCAGGTACGGTGGTAAGGTTAGCAATCTGTGTCACCAGGGAGATGCTCTCGCTGCTTTCTGAAGGAGTCACCTCTGCTGCAGGCTCAATCGGGGACACAGGAGTCTCTTTATAGGCGCTCTGTGGGGCAGGTCCTCCCTCAGGGGATGTGGAAGTTTTGGTCACAGGAACCTTTGTCTCTTTTGGAGATGTGGGTGGAATGCCCACGAACTCCTCTGTAGAGGGAAATGTAGGGGAAAGAGGGCAGTGCATCCTGGCCAAACCCAAGACAACCTTGGTGCTTGCATCCCTCACCCCGCCCCATCACGGTTCATCTGCCGACACTCCCTGCTAGTCAAAGTCCTGCCTACCCACAGGGCCCTGGTAGGTGGTCAGCAATACTTCCCAAGTATTGCTTATCAGAGATTAACCAGCCGAAGTTTGAAAGTGGGTCAGTTTTGGGTTCAGGTAGAAGTCTACTACATCCTAGGAGTACGGCTGGAGAAGCAGTTTCACTTTTAACTTACTTTCCTCGTTTGTAAAAGAGGGATGGATAATGGAGGTGTGGTACGGGCAACACAGTTAAAGCCCTCAGGGTAGCCTGGGCATACGGTACAAGCCTTAATAAAAATTTTAGTATTATGTCACTGGAGTGGCTCCAACATGCTGCTGTAAGCCGAGCAGCCAGGTAGAGAAGCTCCCACCCTAAACTAGGAGTTCTCAAACCTGGCTGGCATCAAGTATTAGCAGTGGGCTTGTTAAAAATACAACTTTTGCTACATTCTTAGAATCTTATTTAGAAGGTGGGGAAGGGAATCGGGTTTTCAATATGCTGCCCAGTGAGTGTGAAGCAGCTGGTCCACTGCTGGCAGAGCAATCTGTTCCAGCTAACACGTGACTTTTGTACCTGAATTTGAGGTTCCACCCGCCTTGTTCCACTTGACATCTCGGGTGCACTGCCTATGCCCAGCACTTACGCTGTGCACATTCTCTGTTTGCTGGGCACAAAGCTCTCCAGGCCTCCCAGAGCCCCCCAGACACGCCTGTCACTTGCCCGTCACATTCTGACATTTCTTACCTTCTTCCTCCTCCCAGCCGGGCTCTTCAGAGAGGCTCTGTTCTGCCCGCTGCTTTAGGGCATCTCTCCGGGCCTGCTCCTGAGGGTGGGAGTGCAACCACCAGGACCAGTCAGGACACCTTCTTCCCAGGCCCTGGCTCTAGCCCCAGAAGTCTTGATACCTCATCTCCCTCTTTTGCCTCAACAAAGTCCAGCCTGCTAGGCAGGTGTGGTGGTGCATGGCTGTAATCCCAGCACTCGGGAGAGCAAGACAGGAGTAAAGCAAGTTCATGCCCACCCCAAGTAGTTTAGTAACTTAAGAGATGACCCTGTCTGCAAAGGCCTTGGGTTCAATCCCCAGTATGGGGGAGGGGGTCCACTCTATTTTAATCGGGTCTGAGCTGGAACCTCTCTGGGCTAGACCAATCAATATACCTGCTCTAGTTGATGGACTTTATAGAAATACCGGTGCCAGAATTCTGAATGGGAAACAGCTGCTGGAACCTGGAAGGAGAGAAGAGTGGAAGTGAGAATTTGGGATTAGTATGCAGGCTCTGTGTTCCGTCTTCTGAGTCTCCTCCCAGCCATTCTGGATTTCAGACACAAGTAGCTTCGTAGTGTCTGTTAGAGCCCTTCCACCCCCATCTCAGTTTCAGCCAGACCTACCTTGGCCAAGGAGGAAGCAAAGAATTCCCATTAGGCTTGGCTGGCCCTTTCATTTCTCACCATTCTCTGAATGCCAGAAGCAGGGCAAATCAGCCTCTTCCATACAGATTCTTGGCTCAGGATATGCCTGGTTTGGCTCTATGGGGTCTCGCACTATACATGCCCCGCCCACCTCTTGACACCTCAAGCCTGGAGCCAGCAGAGGTCCTGCCGGTTGGGCCCTCACCATCTTGGTGTAGAGGGCCCGGATGGAGGGGCTGCCCACAAGGAGCTCTGAGATCTCTCCTTTCTTCTCCTCTAAGCAGAACTCGGAAAGCCAGGCGTCAAACAATTCCGGGGGTCCTGCGGAGGGACAGATGCTGACAGTCAGTTCCCTGGTCTGGGGAAGAACAGTGGACCTACAGAATGTACTTGAGCCTGGACTTGGACAACAAGGAAAGCAGATGGGTTTTTTCAAAAACACCTGGCCCCTGGTGGGGAGGTCAGGTAGGGTGAAGGGGCGCAGGGCTCTACTGGGATCAGGGTGTGGCACCTAAATGATCTCCAGAAAGGACTGCTGTCCCCACTTCCTCACACCCCTGCTGGCATTTTAACCCACTGCATCTGGCTGCTGACCCCTCCAACAGGTACCAGTGGACCCACCTTGCCAGAGCCAGTGGCTGTAGCTCTGTGCACCCTCATGTGACTGCACTACCATTTCTTACTGGCGGCACTGCCTTCCTCTCGATGCCCGCTTCCCTCCAGCTTTTTTTCTTCCTCCTTCTACTTCTCGGGCTGTTCCATCTGAGTCTTGGTGGACCGATAATTTTCCTTTCCTAACCTCTCATGATGGTCCATTTTCTCTCAAGGTACACTAAGTCATGTGTTTTTTTCCGGTACGTTTTTTTCCGGTACCAGGAATCAAACTCACAACCTTGCACTTGCCAGGCAGGCACTGTGCCACTGAACTAAATCCCCAGCCCCTAAGTCACGTGTTTCAATCCCACCCTTCCACTGGCCATTCCTGTGTCTCTCTCTGCAAGGCAGACTACCTCTGGGGCTACAGGTATGGTAGCAAATACATGTGGTCATTTCAAACACAGTTATCCACTAGAAATATGGGGCCATCCTAGACTTCTCCCTTATCTACTCGCTAAGTTTTGTGTTTTTTGAGTCAGGTCTTACTATGTGGCCCAGACTGGTCTTTTTTTTTCTTTCTTTTTTTGTCTTTTTGAGACAGGGTCTCGCTATGTAGTTCAGGCTGGCCTTGAGCTCACTCTGCAGCCCAGGCTGGTCTTGAACGATCCTCCCACCTCAGCCTCCCAAGTGCTAGGATTACAGGCGTGTGCCACCATGCCTGGCCAGACTGGTATTTAACTCCTGGTGATCCTCCTGCTTCAGCTCCCCAAGGGCTGGAATTACAGGTGTGCACCGCCGTGCCCGCTCCACAGGCTCTGATCCCACTCCTCAGTGTGTCTTCGCAGTCCACCTTCTTCCTCTGCCTCTCCCGAGGCTCTGGCCTCCCTTTGACATGGGTACCTGCCACGCTTCTGAGATAGTTTTTCCTTCATCTGTCATAATACTACAAGGGCTGCTCTACACAATGCAAAATCTGATTATCTCAGAACCCTTCAGTAACCAGGCGTGGCACAGGCCTGTAATCCCAGCATATGAGAGGCTGAGGTAGGAGGATCATTCCAAGTTTAAGACCAGCTGGGGCTAAAAAGTGAGCTCAAGGTCAGCCAGAACTGCATAGAGACCCTGTCTCAAAAAAGACAAAACAAGAGAAAACAAACCCCTCCAATAGTTCTCTACAGGAGGGCCTTTTGTTTGTTTTTGTGAGAGAAGATCTCACTATATTGCTCAGGCTGGCCTTGAACTAAGTAGCTCAGATTGGTCATGAACTCAAAAGAGGCACTCCTCCTGCCTCAGCCTCTTAAGAGTGCTGGGATTATAGGCATGTGCCACCACGCCCAGCTATGGAAGACTTTTTTAAAACTAGGATCCACAGTTGATCATTAAAGGGTCAAAGAATCCCATACTGCATACAAAATTAGTGCAGAGGAGGCTTGTCATTTTTAACAGTTTTTTTTTTTTGTCTTTCTGAGACAGGGTCTCACTATACAGTTCAGGCTGGCTTTGAGCTCACTTTGTAGCCCAGGCCGGCCTCGAACTCTCGATCTTCCTGCCCAGGTTCCCTAGTGTGTGCTCCACCATGCCAGGCTTTCAACAGATTTTTAACAGCTTTTGTTACGAGGAAGAGGATCTAGAATCAATACTATGAGATTTTATGATGAAATTCAATGCTCAGCCTGGCACCCAAAGCCACATCAAGCATCAGTGCTTTGGCTGCTTGTACTCTTAACACACATTTGCCTTAACCCAGTGTCACCAAAAATCTAGAGGTTCTTGCTCTTTCTGGACTTCCAAATATTCTATTGCCTTTTATACTTATAAAAGTAAAACTTATAAAAGTAAAACTCATTTACTTCTAGTGCATCTTTAAAACCTCAATTCAAGTGTCACTTCCTGGGCTCCCAGGCTGGGTGAGGTATTGCTCCTCCGCCTGTCTTTTGGCAGAAGCAGTCACTCCACTCAATTTCTGCTTCATTCCCTCTCTGCTGGTTCCCTCCTAACGGCCTCATCCTGGAGGGCCGGGTCAGATGGAGGGCTCGACTCATTTCTGGTCTTCAGTTCTGGTAAGTGGCTCTGAGTGTGGCAGAGGCTGAGTGAATGGGGTGATGGCGGAAAGGTAGGCAGGGCGGAAGGCTGGCAAGGAGGCTGAGCAGAGAGGATGTGGGACCAGACGAGCACAATCTCTGTAGATGACAGAGCTGGGGTGAAGCAAGCTAGGGCCGAGGGAGGAAAAGTGAGCATCAAGCCATTCCAGACAGCATAGAGCGGACACCAATCTTACTCCAGTCCTTCTCCATGGGGGCCTTCGGCCTCTGCTACCTGAGAAAAGACGGCCCACCCCCACATCTGCTTAGTCCACCTGCCCCACAAGCCCACCCCCATTTCGACCCCCTCACCGTCAGGTTCGTTGCAATAGGTTGCTGGGTCTGACTGCAGGCTGTAAAGGCGAGCCTGTGAAGAGAGAGAAGAGACTGTGGGGTGCCGGGCATGGAAAGCACTCTCCGCAGAGTACGACAACCCTGCTTCTTCTCTGCAGGCATCTACCAATGAACCCGGGGCCGGCGAGTCCAAAGTGGCTTCTAGCAACCCACTGGCTGGGAACTAAGGAAATACAGTATAAGCAGGCTTCAAATTATATGTGTAAAATGCTTCCGATTTGTATGTGAAATCTGAAAAATGTCAAGGACAAATGTATTAGTAAGTTCAGCTTTAGGGGCAAATTGTTAAATAATGTAATTACTCCAAAATTAAAACCACCAGATGTGGTGGTGCATGCTTGTAGCCCCAGCACTTGAGAGGCTGAAGCAGGAGCATCATTGCGAGTTCGAGGCCAGCCTGGGGTACAAAGTGACCTGAAGGCCAGCCTGAACTGCATAGCAAGACCCTGTCTCAAAAAGAAGAAAAAAATCCCCCCAAAACAACAACAAAATCAAAATTAAAACCATTCATCACAAATTCTTAGCTGGGTATGGTGGCACACATACCTGTAATTCCAGCACTCTGGGAAGCTGAAGCAGGACGATTGCAAATTACAGCCCAGCTAGGGCAACTTAGCAAGACTGTGTCTTAAAATAAGTAAGCAAATAAATAAGGCTGAATATGTAGCTCAGTGTGTAGGCCTTGGTTTTAATCCCCAGTACCACAAACACAGACCAAACACCAACCAAAAAACAAAAATAAAAACAAAAACAAAACAGAAAAAAACCCAACACCTTAATTTTGCAGCCTGTCTGCCAAGTAAATTGTAAATAGTGTTTCCACTAGGGTCGTAGATGGGCAAACTTCAGTGGATAAAAGGAACTCCCTACTCCTGCCCCATTGTACAGAGACATTACTGTCTGTCTGCATCAGAATTTCAGCAAGTAGGGGCTGGGGAAATAGCTCAGTGGCATGGCATCTGCCTGGCAAGCACAAGATCCCGAGTTCAATTTCCGCTACCAAAAAGCCCCCTAAAACTCTTAAGAACTTCAGAGCGGGGTGTGGTAGTGCATGCTTGTAATCCCAGCACATGGGAGGCTGAGGCAGGAGAATTATTGCGCGTTTGAGACCAGCCTGGGCTACAAAGTGAGCTCAAGACCAGCTTGAACTGCGAGTGAGACCCTGTCTCAAAAAGACCAAAAAAAAAGAGAAAAAACCCAAGAATTTCAGCAAGTGGCTTTTTTTTTGTTTTTTGTTTTTTTTCTTGTACCAGGAATGGAACTCACGACGTTGCACTTGCCAGGCAGGCACTGTGCTGCTGAACTAAATCCCCAGCCCCTCAGCAAGTGGTTTTGATGATGAGTCATTGTTATAATTTAAAATCTTACTGACTGACTGATTGTCTTTTTGAGACAGGGTTTTAGTATGCAGTTCAGGCTGGCCTTGAGTCACTTTGTAGTCCAGGCTGGTCTTAAATTCATAAGGATCCTCCTGCCTCAGCCTCTGAGTGCTGGAATTACAGGCATGCACCACCACGCCCAGTTTAAAATCTTATTTAATAATTACTGCAATTCCACAGGTTCACTCAGTGGTGGTCTGACAGTAGTGCTGAAAACAGCCTTGAAAAGGCAGTATGTTTAGAATGGAAATTCAATGTGGTCAAATGCGACAAAGAAGGCTCCAACGCCATGACACCACCACTGAGAATTAGGAGAAAATCCATGAAAGAGAGGCGATGATGAAAAAATAAAATGCGGCACAAATACACCTCCATAATTGTTGATTTAAGTGCTCTGAAGACACCCTTTCTGCCTATACACTTATTTGTAATGGAAATTAATCTTTTTTGAGATACGGTCTTGCTGTGTTGCCCAGGTTGGCTTTGAACTTGTGATCCTCCTGCTTTAGCCTCCTGAGTAACTGAGACTACAAGTGTGGGCCACTACGTCTGGCTTGGAGATGAGTCTTAGCTGAGATGTGGAGAAAATGTCTCCAAAATGATGTCTCTCTGCAATGTGCTTAGAAAGTTGAAAGCTGAAAGAAATCCAAATGTGTAACACCAGAGAAATGGCTGAATAAATGATATAGTCTCTTGTACGAATTTAAAGACATTAAAAGTGATGGTGATTAGGAAAGAGACTAATAGTTTGCTGTACATTTTTTAAAAAGCACATTATAAAGTTGCATTTATAAAGTGGTTATTTTGGGCCAGGGATGTAGCTTAGTAGCATCCTGCCTGCCCAGTGTGAGGCCCTGAGTTCCATTTCCAGTACCAAGAAAAAGTGGTTATTTTGTTAAAAAGAAAAAACCCTGTAACCCTAGCTACTTTGGAGGGTAAGGCGGGAGGATCTCAAGTTCAAGGCCAATCTGGGCAGCTTAGCAACTTAGTAAGACACTGTCTCAAAATTTAAAAATTTTTAAAAATTGGTGGTACTGGACATGGTGGCACACACCTGTAATCCCAGCACTCAGGAGGCTGAGGCAGGAGGATCGTTGTGAGTTCGAGACCAGCCTGGGCTACGAAGTGAGCTCAAGGTCATCCTGAACTGTATAGTGAGACTCTGTCTCAAAAAGACAATAAATAAATAAAAAAGTAAGTAAATACAGGGTGGGGACATAGCTCAGGAGTAGAGTGCCTTTGGGTTCAATCCCAAGTGCCTCAAACAAACAAACACAAAATATAAGCTATCTTTACTTATATTTGCAAATAAAAACAAAAGGAAGAGCTGGGTGTGGTAGTGGATGCCAGTAATTGTAGCACTTGGGAGGCTGAGGCAGGAGGATCTCAGTGAGTTGAGGCCAGCCTGGGCTACATAATAAGTTCAAGGCCAGTCTGAAATACATAGCAACACCCTGCCCCCCCCCCCAAAAAAAAAGGCCAGGAATTTCACTAAGTGGTGCAGCACATGCCTATGCCTGGCAAGGGTGAGGTCTTGAGTTCAATTCCCAGTACCCCAACCCCTCCCTCCCAAAACAAAAACCAACCAAAAAACCCCCAAATAACAAATGGAAGGTTATATATATCAACAAGGAATCAGGGTTGTCTTTGGATGACAGGATTATGGGTTTAGACGTACAGTGATTATGTTCTTCTTACTCATGTTCTCCAATTTAGTTGTACATATGTCTGGCCTGAGCACGAGTTGCTGTTGTGTGTGTCAGAACCCAAACTGTGTGTGGTGGCACACTCCTGTAATCCCAGCACTCGGGAGGCTAAGGAAGGAGGATTGCCTTAAATTCGGAGCCAGCCTGGGCTACATAGTGAGCTTAAGGCTGTACTACATAGTGAGACCCTTGTCTCAAAAAAAAAAAAAGAAAAAAAATTGGAAGCTAAAGCCCAACATCTATAGGGGAGGCCGCTGGTGAATACCTTTGTGCCATCATAAGGCTCAGCTGTGCCAGAGGGTGTGCCCATCAGGGTGATTACATCACAGTCGATGGTTTTGTCCGGCGAGGGGGCAAAGGTGTCTGAGATCACCCCAAGGAAGTCCGACAACCCTTTCTTCATTTTCTCTGTTGCCCCTGAGGAGCCTTCAGTCTGTGGAGAGAATCAAGAGGGAAGCAGTGTCCCAGCAACTGCTGAAACCTAGGAAATGGGGTGGGCTGGGAGCAGGTGGGGAGCATCAAGGGAAGGGTGTACTACGTTGGGGACCCAGGCAATGTCCACAGGTCCTTCACCTCATCTCAGGGGCTGAAGGAGGAGAGAAGGCAGCCAAGGCCCCTTCTCCACCAGCTGGGCATGTAGAACAGGGCTGTGGTAGGCCACAGAGGGAAGAGAGAGATTCCTGACTGTTGTATCAAAATGTCAAGGCCAATCAGGCTGATTAAAGAGCAGTAAGCCAGGCATGGTGGCGGATGTCTGGAATCCCAGCACTCTGGAGGCTGAGGCAGGAGGATTGCTGTGAGTTCGAGCCCAGCCAACCTGGGCCACACAGTGAATTCAAGACCAGCCTAAACTACACAGCGAGAAAAGTCTCAACCCTACTGTCCAAAAAAAGTGGCGAGAGTAAGATGGGTATAGTGGTGCACGCACCAGTAACCCAGCATACAGGAGACTGAAGCAGGAGGATCAGCACAGGCTCAAGGCCATCCTGGCCTACACAGTGAGTTTAAAACCAGACTGTACTACAGGAGATCCTGCTCAAAAAAAAAAGGGGGCAAAAGAATGAGTGGACCATGTCATAGACATTTCATCAGGGAAAAGGGCCTATGGGTAGGTAGAGTGTTACAAAAGGTACTAGCTTTGGAAGAGAACACGGAATTGAATCCCAGATGTAATATTTAGTTGATGATGAGAGATAAAGCCTCTCTGTGTCTCAGTGTCCTGATTTGTAAAATGCAGATAAATATACATTCTTCAAAGGATTAGTGAAAACTAAAACGCATAGATAATACCTGGCACACTGCAAACACCTAATAAGTAGAAGAACTGTAATATTACAATTCTATCATCATTGTTTAGGAAGTATAATATTTTGTAAAAAAGGTGGGGGAAGCCGGGTATGGTGGCGCATGCCTGTAATCCCAGCACTCGGGAGGCTGAGGCAGGAAGATCATTGGAAGTTCGAGACTAGTCTGGGCTACAATGTAGTGAGCTCAAGGCCAGCCTGAACTGCATAGCAAGACCCTGTCTCAAAAAGACAAAGAAAAAAAAAAAGGTGGGGGAAATACGGATAGGAACAGATAGCCTTGCTATGCCTGGGACCTGGAAACTAGTTAAGGGTCAGCACATAGACCTCCAGGAAAGGGCAGGTGGGACAGCAAACCTGAGCCATACAGGTCAGAATGCTCTCCAGGTCGGGTGTGGTGGTGCACATTTGTAATCCCAGCACTCTGGAGGCGGAGGCAGGAGGATTGTTGCAAGTTTGAGACCAGCCTGGGATACAAAGTGAGCTCGAGGCCAGCCTGAACCACATAGCGAGACCCTGTCTCAAAAAAAAAAAGAATGTTCTCCAGTAGTCTCCAGTAGGCAGGTCACACTCCAACTACCTTGTGGAAAACTGAAATACTTCCTTCTGAGTGAGCTGCTCAGACATTTTAAACCTAAAACCTGTCACAGTGCATAGCACATATTGCTACAGCTATACAATTGTATTTGTTGAATAAAAAATATAAATGAATAAATAAATAAGTGGTATCTCTGCTACGGGCTACACTTACAATAGTTTGGCAGGGTTACTATTTGTCATTCATACACATCAGTAGCTGTGGTTTTTTTTTTTGGGGGGGTCTTTTTGAGACAGGGTCATGCTGTGCAGTTCAGGTTGACCTTGAGCTCACTTTGTAGCCCAGGCTGGTCTCGAACTCACAACGATCCTCTTGCCTCAGCCTCCCTCCTGAGTGCTGGGATTATAGGTGGGTGCGCCACCACAGCCGGCAAGTAGCTCTGGTTAGCAAATAGACAGCATTTTATAAAAGGATTCAATAAAATAAGCTTGCTATGAAAACCCTCCAGACTTACTTGCCTGACTTCTTTCCTTCCTTCCTGTTTACTTTCCTTTTTTTTTTCTTTTTTTAAACAGGGCGTTGTTCCTGTTGCCCTGGCTGGTATTCAATTGCTGGGCTCAAGAGATATGCCTGGCCTCCTGAGTAGCTGGTATTACAGACACACTTCACTGGGCCCAGCTCAAAACTTGTTTTTCATAACATGACCTTTAATCTCAAGGTGACTGATTCAGCTGGTGGTCAAATGAAAAAACTATAATCTGTCCCAATGCTAACAGAAAACCTAATATAAAACCAAGTAAACTGCACTTCACTGGAAAATTAAGAGATATATGGGGATATCTTTGACAAGCCACATTTTTCACCTTTCACACTGACTTTATAATCTAATGCCTATCTCACAAGAGGATTTTACTGTACTGACTAATAAGAGCCATTATAAATTGACAAAAAACAAGCATGGCTGAAGTAAGAATATTTTCTTGCTGGGTGTGGTGATGCATGCCTACAATCCTAGCTACACAGGTAAGAGGATCATAAGTTCAAAACCAGCCTGGAAAAAAGCAGTAAGACCTTGCCACAAAACAAAACAAAAAGAGAAAGAGGCAATGGGCAAATATTTAGCAAAGAGAATACTAACTACGGCTGTGTATGTAACACTAGAAAAAGTGAAATAGGGAAGTAGGAACTAGTTAAATCCATGTAACAGAACTGATGCCATTTGAACGTCATTTGCAGAATGAAGTCTGCAATGGTTAAGTAAAAAAGTGAGATAAAAAACAGTTTTCAGTTGACCCCACTTTTTTTTTTTTTTTTTTTTTTTTGAGACAGAGTTTCACTATGCAGTTCAGGCTGGCCTTGAATTCACTTTGTAGCCCAGGCTGGTCTCAAACTCAGTGATCCTCCTGCCTCAGCCTCTGGAATGCTGAGATTATAGGCATGTGCCATGCCCGGCGGTCCACTTTTAAAGAAGAAAGGATATAAAGGGATATAACCGCAGAAGAGTAACAACAGTCATCTCCAGGATGTAGAATTATGGATGGGTTCTGGTCAGCCTTGCTTTTACTTTGTCTTTTCTTTTGCTTAAGTATATTTTCTAAATTTTCTACAACGAATGACTTTGCTATTGGAAAACATTTGCTAAAATAATACAGAAGTGGGAAAACCAATTAGTACACTTAACATATACACCTGTCCCTTGCTCTACTGTGGTTCACTTATTGTGGTTTCATTGCATTGCAGGTTTTTAAAATATATATATATCTAATTCTGTATTGTGGAGATTTCGCTATATTGTGGGCTTTTGCAGTATATAGGTATTTATATAGTATTTATGACTTTAATTATTTTTGCCTAAAAGATTTAAAAAATAAAAAAATAAAAATGTTAATTCAAACATATTAAAAGATATTAAATTGAAAAAGATACAGTATGCATTTTATCAGCAGATGAATACTGTATTATACACAACGGAAATGCAGTATACCACTACTGCTTGCACAAGTTTGCCAATGTGAGACTGTACACAGCACACTATTGGCTGATGGAGTGGAAGGCGACCAACCACAGCACTGTGCTCTGTACCCTGCACACTGCTTGGCTCAGTGACCGTAGCATCGGTCTATCTGCTCTCCTGCACTGTGCCCATACGTTCAGCATCTCTCTTTCGTCCCCTTCACATCGAGTACCCATACAGTTTACACGTTGTTACAATTACATAGGTTTAAGAGTGCAGAAAATGTTTAAGAGCATATGAAGTGTTTATAAGACTGTGAGAAAAGTTAATAAGCGTGGGAAAGGTTTACAGAAGTGGGGGAAGGATTTATAAAGCCTTAAAATGTATATAAATAATAAAACAAATATAATGCAGCTACTTTGCGGATTTTCACCTATCGCCGGGGTCTCTGGAACGTAACTCCAGCGATAGGTGAGGGATCACTGTACATGTGTATGCTTGACCAACACAATTCTTCCAAAATAGGAGGAAAAACCAATCGCCATTTTTGCTGAGTCACCTGACAGAAAGGGTGGGAGTCCTCCCAGGGCTCCAGGGCAGGGCAGGCCTAGAGGTGGCCCCTGGAGGTGTGGGCAAGTACTCACAGTCAGCTTCTCCTTGACTACGCTGGCTGTGGCTGCAATGGTACAGGCGGTGTCGTGCTGTACCACCTGGGTAAACTCTGCCAGGTCCCGCTTCATGAACTCCAAAGCTTCAGATGACTGTGGGAAGATGAAGGGTAACTGCCAGTTTGTCCCCTGTGCTTCTTCAGTATCAAAGACACACAGAACTCTCAAGAGACACAGGAGCCCAGGCTTGGTGACAGTGTTCTGTGTCCCAATTTCACGATCTGGGATTGCCAAACAGCAGCAAGCCCAGGAGAATTTCACTCCTTGGCCCAGGCACTCACAGCTTGTGGCTGTGAGGGAGTCCCATCTAGTGCCTGGTTTTCTCCTCATAAAAGGTAGGAGGTGGACTAGGTTAGTGATTCTCAAGAGCAGTCTGTGGAAAGGGACACTTACAGGCTGAAGACAAAGCAGGCTTGATGAGCTGCTTGATATGCTTTAAGTCATACTTGCTTCAAATTTCAAATAACTTGATAATGGCAGGCATGGTGACGCACACCTGTAATTCTAGCACTCAGGAGGCTGAGGCAGGAGGAACACTATGAGTTCTGGGCCAGATGGGCTACATAGTCAGTTCAAGACCAGCCTGGACTACACAGTGAGACCTTGTCTCAAAAAAAACCACTAAAAAAAAAAAAAAAACAAAACCAAGCCAACCAAACAAACTCAATCAAATGACTTGACAAAATGTGTGATTTTTTTTTTTTTTAATCAAAGAAAGGAGGGGCAGATTCTCTCTCAGGCCTTCTTGGTTCTACCATTCATGGGTTCTAGTCACCCATAAAGCTGCTTTGGGTTGAATTATTTGCTTCTGTTGAACCAACCTCCTTCTCAGCTTGTGCTTAGAAGCAATTTGAGACTGCAGGCCCTCACAACCTGCTACATGCTGCCTTGCTTACAATATACTCGCCATCTCCAGGATGGCCTCCTGAACCATCTTTGCACTTGCCTCACCCTACAAACTCTTTTACACCACAAGAAATCAGTCAGTCGGAATTTTTAAAGCACATGTTTGAAGTCTGTTGGGTTTTCTACTTTCACTAGCCCAGGAAGTCTGTGAGGGGGACAGTTTCACATGTAAGGTACAGGCTTCTTAGGGGAGGGGGCAGGAATCATGCTTCTACATCAGATTCTGGATCTCTGCATTTGGGGGGGAGGGAAAATTTATTTATATCATGTGGCCTCATACATGGAGCTCCATTCTGTCCATCTGCACTCCCACCACTTAGTCCAGCTGACTCTCAGACGGAAGTTATCGGATCCCTTCACTACGTTTCCTTGTGGCACATAGTGGGTGCTCTCTTGGTCAAGGCTGACCAAACTGCCCCTGCTCTACATTTGCTGTTTACACACTGCCCTGAGAACAAGTATAAACTCTCCGCCTTCACTCACAAGGCCTGTAAAACCCAGCTTCTGGCAAACTTGTGTTCCCACCACGATGTACCTTTATTGAGCTCCAACTGGCCTTTCTCAAGTTTCCTGTATGTGCTAGCATCTTCCCTACCTCAGGTAGTTGAGCACCTTACCCCTCTCCCCGAAGATACTTCAAGTCTTCAGAACAAATAAGCAAGGCAGCACACTGGTTAACTCTTGTTCATCTTTCAGGGCTATGCTTTCATGTCACCTCCACAGACGTTTCCCTGCTTTCCCTGTTCTTTCACACTGGTCATGTTTTAGGCTCTACATTACCCACTCAGTATCAGTCTTCCTAGGTAAACTATGAGCTCCATGAACACACAGCCCATGTATTCTGTTCACTAATGATTCCTTGGCGTCTGACACAAAACATACATGTCTTGGGAAAATTTTAATTCTATAACCATCTACATGAATGGTTATCTTCCCCACTAGATTCTAGGCGCTGAGTGCACAAACATGAACAGGTATGGTGCTTGCCCTCAAGGCGGCCACACTCTATTGAGTAAATGCTCACATAATAGGCTGATGTGCAAGGGCAGAGCAGCAACTGGATTATGAGGAGGTTGGGAAGATTTGGGGAAGAGAAGCTTGGATTCAGCCCTGAAGAATAAACAGGAATTTGCTAAGGAAGTCTTGAGGTTTACTGAAGGTTACAAGCATCTTAGTGCTGACAAACATGGAATGTGAGGCAGAAATGGTGAGCAATAAAGCTGGAGACGTTACCAAGGGCAACTATGAGGAGCCAACAAAGGCTTAAAGCAGGTGGGACTTTCACTTTTGTAAGTTATCCTAGTGACTGGAATGAAGGATGGGTATGAGGGTGACAAGACTTTAAAAGACAGGAAGACCAGTTAGAAGGCGGCTGGAATAATCCAGGAAAGAAAGCATAAGAATACAAATAAGGACAAGGCTGGTAAAGATAGAAAGTATGGGATCAATTCAAGAAGTACTAGGTAAAAAGGTCAATCTGTAGATAATGCTGATTAGGACAGGAAAAGAATCAAGGAAGCCAGATGTGGTGGTGCACACCTGTAATCCCAGCACTAGGGAGGCTGAGGCAGGAGGATCGCCGCGAGTTCAAGGCCAGCCTGGGCTACAAAGTGAGCTCAAGGCCAGCCGGAACTGCACAGTGAGACCCTGTCTCAAAAAGACAAAAAAAAAAAAGAATCGAGGAAGAGCCAGTGGCTGCTAAAATAAGTTACTGGACAGATATAAGGATGGTAACTAAACGAGAAAATACTGAAGGAGGAACAAGTTTGCAGAAAAGATTTTTTTTGTTCCAGGAACTGAACTCAGGACCTCGTGCTCACCAGGCAGGCGAGATTCCACTGAGCTATATTCCTGGCCCTTGAAGAAAAGACTGTGATAGAGACTCTGAGCATGAAAATCTGAGGTGATCATGGGTGTTCTGGGATAGTGGCCCATCAGAAGCTAGCCTCAAACACCAAAGCTCGGGGAGAAGAACTAGAGCTCACCTTAACTTGAAGGAGATCACCTGTGAAGATTTTGAAGCGTGAAGAGAGCAGTGTGCTGAGGAGCTCTTAATACCACTTTTGAGGAGCAGGCAGAAGAGGGCCTCATGAGCAGTTAAGAAAGTCTAGAGAAGTATGTGGAGAATTGAGAGGGTATCACGTCACAAAAGACAAAAGCAGTTTCAAGAAAAAGGGAACACTCACTAGTGTCAAACACAGCAGAAAGGCCCAGGGAGATAAAGGCTGAAAACACCCACTGGATGCGCCCGAATGTGACTGCAGATAAGGTCGTAGGTAGTGGCTTTAAGGGTGAGAAAGGAATTAAACAAGATCATGCTTACTGACCTCAAATTTTAGAAAGTGTGCGAGGTTGTCTGCTGGAAATGAAAATGACAATTGAAGTCAAGGGGAGGAAAAGCAAATCAGACTGGAAAGGGATGCTAGGAAGAGCTTGGGCCCAGAAGAGGGTGGGGAGTTTACAGTGCAGCCAAAGAACGTGTGCCCATCTCTATCAGTGTGCATGTACAAGCACTTGTGGGCACACAGGAGGAGGCAAAGGAGAGGAAGGGGCCGGGGATATAGCTCAGTGCACTGGCAGGTGCAAGGTCCTGAGTTCAATTCCTGGTACCAAAAAAAAAAAAGAGAGGGAGGAAGACGGATTACAGCATCATCTGAGTTGTTGGTTCTAGGCTTGTTAAGCGAGTAAGGAACTGAGGGGTTCAGATAGGACCAGGATGGGATGCAAGTACCAAAAGACCAAGAAAAAAACAAAAAAAAGGACAAATGGACTGCTGACAGTGCCTAAAAGCTCCCCCATCACCCTAAGCATGTAATGAGAATAGCTAACTTTTGTAATACTCAATGTTGTTAGTTCTCTATATTATCATCTAATCCTCACGACAGTCCCCATAGGTAGGTATTATTATTTTCATGTTACAGTAAGGGAACCGAGGCCTAGAGAGGTCAAGTAACTTGCCTGTGTTTATATAATCAGTATCAGCAAAGAGAAAAAAATGAAGTCTCTTTCTAAAAGAAGAGAAACACCCATCACTATCCCCGCTTCTCACAACTCAAATTGGGAATTCCCGAAGAACAAAGATGGCAAGCTGAACAAGTACCTCTTTCTCATGAGTTCTGGTAAATCCCAACCCTGAAACACACCAGTGGCCTCCTGTAACACTGGTTGCATGCATGTCACACTTTTAGTTCCCCTCGCAGCTCTCGCTCACACAAATGTCTCAGTGCATTCTTCGATTTACTGGGCTGTAATCGAGAGGCCATCTAGGAGTACACAGGCTGAGGGGAAAGAATGCTCCCAGAGTAGGGGTGCTGACTTAGTTAACTGAGGTCAGAAGCCTCCTCGAGTCTGCCCTGAAGCAGGACTCTCCCCAGGAGAGTAAACAGTAATTAGTTTTTCCACAATTACTTGGCAAGGCCCAGCATCACTCATCCACTAGGGATTGCTTAGCTGGCCATTCAAGGCCCTCCACTCTCTGACCATTAATCTCCTCTCCCCCTTTGTAAGCCCCTCACTTAGCATGCATCAGGCACCAGTGTGTACAGCTCATGCTCACTTCCGACCTGGGTTCTTCCTTTTCATCCTGTCTAGGCAGGGTTGGCCTCGATGGGGTTCCTTCCCCACAACACTTTCCTTGGCCTGTTCTTGACTACTAGACCAGACAAGGTACTCAGTCCTTTCATCTCACAGCATTTAACACAAAAACAGACAGCTGTTTGACTAGCTGGTCTTCCCACCAGACTGTGAGCTTTGAGGCCCAGAGCTATGTCTCTTTGGCCTAGCAGTGATGGCGAACGTTTTACAGCTTTCAGTGATACAGCCGGCCAGAAGTTGTACGTGTCCCACAGGTTGGCTACCACTTAAGCTTTGTATCCGTTGGAGTTGCTGGTTGTGGCATATATGTACCCTAATGTCTCGATGACTACAGAGTAAGTTCTTGCATTGCTACAATCCTTCAAGGCCTGTATCAAATGTTCTTTTCTTTTCTTTTTTTTGATACAGCGTCTCACTACGTAACTCAGGCTGGCCTTGAACTCTATGGAGTCCAGGGAGGCTTCGAACTCGCGGTGATCCTTCTCCTGCCCCAGCCTGCAGAGTGCAGGGACTACAGGCGTGCGCCCCTAGGCCAGGCCAAATGTTCTTTATTTTACAAGGAAGCTGTCAATCAACCAAGCTGGAATTGCTCCTTCCTAGCATTCCTAGGAAAGGAGCCTTCCAGCTTTTAAAACAATCGTTATCTCACTCTGGCTATTACATCGGTCTGCGTAAGGACCCCGAAGGCCAGAAAGGGTAAAAGTAGGGCCCAGGGCGGCCTCAGGGAGGCCCGGGACGCGCAAAGCTGGGAAAGGCAGGTCGGACCGGGCTGCAAGGCGGCGGCGCGGGCCCGGCCGGGGAAGAGGGCGCTGGCCCGGCTTACCTTCTCTTTGACTGCCTGGTAGCTCTGCTGCAGCCAGCTCCGCCACCATCCCACGTCCTCCCTGTGGAAGACAGACACAGCTGGCGGCCCTGGGGTGCCACGCCTGCCCGCCCCGGCGTCAGGTCCCAGTTTTCCCCTCGATGTGGCCCGCGGCGGCGGTTTCGCCGGCCGCTTCCCTACCCCTCACACTTCGACTCCCCTCTGCCCGCTCAGCTCCGTCCACGCCCGCAGACTCCCTGTTCCCCTGGGGACCCTGGCCCAGCACCCGACCCCTGGGAGAATTCAGGCCCCAACTCCCGGGAGCAGAACGACAGGCTCACCCTTCCGCCATCTTGCCCGCATGACATCACCACTATTTACCGACCTTTGACTTCCGACACGGCCCCGCCCCCTCAGGCCCCGCCCCGGACCGCGCCGCCGGGTGCTAGCCCCGCCCCGCCCCGCCCCGCCCTCCATTAGGCCCTGCCTCTCTGGGCTCTGTACAGTTTCAACCCCGAATTCGGCTTTAAACTCCGCCTCTGAACTCCGGGTCCAGGCGTTATTCAGTCCCTCCAGGGTCAACTCTTTCACCGGTAGCCGAGGGCTTCCGATACGGTGGCCTGTGAGGGCCTTGTTTGGCCGACTTACTGGATGGCGAATAAAGAGTAATGGGAAGGAGAGGAAGGGGTCTGGCGGGAGCTCGAACGCCTGGCTCACAGAACGCAGAACTAGGGCCGTCCCTCTTTGTGAAACCAGCTGCAGCTGTCCGTTGTCTTCGGGCTGATTGAACACGCGCAGACGGCGGGCCCGTGGGCCAGAGTTTGGAGGAGGGAACTATAGAGGCAATCTCTGGGGACTCAGGGTACTGTAGAGGAAGGCACACATTCAGCTATCAAAAAACAACACGAACTGGAATGTGGTCAGGAGAAATCCGGAGACTGCCTGGATGAGGAGATTGAGTCCATGAAATTGGGTTCCAGGGTGTCTGCCGCCTCACTGATCTTCATCCGTGTCCGCATTTTTTGCCTTCTCTCTTGGAAGGATGCACTTAGCTAAGAGCAACTCCTTCATTTGATCCCTTCTCTTGTCTGCCTAAGGAAGTATGTAGCTCTAGTAATTCTCCCACTGCCCACCTCCCCTTCTCCTCTCCCCTACTCTTTAGGAGATTATTCCTGTCATCATACATGGTGTTACTTCTATCTCAAACGGCGGGGCGTGGTGACTCATGCCTGTAATTCCAGCACTGGGGAGGCTGAGGCAGGAGGATCACTGCAAGTTCGAGACTAGCCTGGGCTACAAAGTGAGCTCAAGGCCAGCCTGAACTGTATAGTGAGACCCTGTCTCAAAAAGACCAAAAACAAAACAAAACAGAACCAAAACAAAACAAAAACCTTCTCTCTTAAACGAAGACAAATAAAAACCAACCTCATCTTGGACCCAATATTAATTCCTTACTCCCTTTAACAGCGAAATTCCTGAGTTGCCTATACTGGCTGTGTCCAACTTCCCTCTTCGTTGGACTCCCTGCAGTCAAGTTTTTGCCTCTCCACCATTCAGTGAAATAACTTTTGATAAGGTCGCCAGTGATAACTTTTGATAAGGTCTCTTTTGATAAGAGCAATGGGTAATTTTCAGTTCTCTAATGGTCAGCATCTAACATGACATAGTTGGCCACTTTATCCTCCTCCAAAAGCTTTCTTCTCTTGTCTTCTAGGATTCGGTACCTTCTTGACTTCCTTTGACTTCTTGGGCATCTCCTTAGTGTTCTTTGATCTCATTGCTGGAATGTCCCAGAGCTTAGACCCTGGTTCCTTTTTTCTGTGTCTGTAATCATTATTCAGGTGATTTCATCAAACTTACTATTTATTTCTACATGCTGGCAACTCTCAAATTTTCTTTTGGATTCAAACATCTGTGAACAGGCTCACATTTGGATATGCAGTACACGTACTAAGCTTAATGAGTCTCAAAACAAATTCCTGGTACTAAATTTCCTGCAAACTTCCCCACATCTATAAATGGCAGCCTCATTCCTCCAGTTGTTCCAACTAAAAACCTGGGAGTTCTCACTGATTCTTCACATTCTTTCATAATACAGAGCTAATCCCTCAGTAAATCCAGTTAGTTAGCTCTGCCTTTATTTTTCTTTCTTCCTTCCTTCCTTCCTTTCTTTTTTCTTTTTCTTTTTTTTTTCTTTGAGACAGGGTCTTGCTATGCAGTACAGGCTGGCCTTGAGCTCACTTTGTGGCCCAGGCTGGTCTTGAACTCGCAATGATCCTCCTGCCTCAGCCTACCGAGCGCTAGGATTATAGGCGTGTGCCACCACACCTGGCAATGGTACATATCTTGTTGGAGTACAGACTAGTGTTTCTTCAAAAAATTAAACATAGAATTATCATGTGTTAGCTTTTCATTGCTATGACCAAACACCCGAGGAGGAGGAGGAGTTTTGGAAGAGGAGTGGTTTATTTTGGCTCATGATAATCTCTTCAGACGTTCCAGCCCATGGTTGGCCGGCTCTGTTGCCCTTAAACCCGTGTGGCTTTAAACATCATGATCAAAGCGCATGGCAGTGGGGGGAGCTGCTCACTTCTTGGCAGCCAGAAAGCAGCAAGGAAGGGGGAAAATCCAAAACAAAGGGGCTGGGAACAAGATATAGGTCACACTGCTACTATCCACCCTTCCACAAGGCTCCGTCTGTTTCCATCTCCTCCTTCAAATTATGACTAATCCACTGACGAGGTTGAAACACTCGTGATCCAATCACTTCTCTAGGCCCTACCTCTGAGCAGTGCTGCATTTGGGATCAAAATGTCAATACATGTGTCTTTGAAGGGCACTTTATATTTCTTTTTTTTTAAATATCAGATCTTTTAAAAAAATTGAGTTTATTGGTTTTATTGGTACATTTTAGATATATAAGCTAGGCGTGGTGTCACACGCCTGTAATCCCAGCACTCAGGAGGCTGAGGCAGGGGGATCTTTGTAAGCTCGAGACCTGGGCTACAGAGGGAGCTCAAGGCCAGCCTGAACTGCATAGCAAAACCCTGTCTCAAAAAGACAAAAACAAAAAAATAGATATACATAATGATCACATTCATTATAGGGAATTTGTATCCGTATATTTTTTGATTCCTCTTTTTTTCCCAATCCTCTCTCCTGCCTTCAACCCATCTTCCCCTCCCTATTTACAAAGCTTTGTTTCCATTTTATCCTTTTTTAAAATCTTTTTTTCTTTCCCCTTCCTTCCTTTCTCCCTTCCCCATCCTAGTTCTTCTTTCATTTTGAACAATTTCTTTCCATTTTGCAATATCTATTGTACATTTTGGTCCTTATTTACTCTTTCAGTTTCTCACACCAGAGCAATGATGTGATTTTTGCACATGTGAGTCCGATTTATTTCACTTAAGAGTATGGTCTCAGGTTGCATCCATTTACCTAGAAATGTCTCAGGTTTATTCTTCTTTATGGCTGAGTAGTACTCCATTGTAAAAAAAACCCCCACATCTCCTTTATCCATTCTTGGGTTGATGGGAATTTGGGTTGTTTCCAAGATTTATCTATTACAAACTGTGCTGCTATAAACATGGGTGTGCATATTATCACTGTGGTATGATGCTGAAATCATTATCATTAAAAATAAACCAAGTATTTTGTACAGAAACAAGAAGGAATATGCTTTGAGTGCATCTCAGCAACCTGCACTACCTCAGGCATTATCAATACCTCACCTGTTATAGGCGCAAGTGTGCAAAACTATAAATCTTTTTCTGGTGGTTTTTTTGAGATAGTCTTGCTATGTAGTTCAGGCTGGTCCTAAACTCACCCTGCAGCCCAGGCTGGTCTCAAACTTGGGGCAATCCTCCTGCCTCAGCTTCTCAATCAAGTCCAGCACAATTACAGATGTGCACCACCATGCCTGATGACACTTCATATTTAAGCCCTAACATCATATGATCCAGCAGCGCTCTTTCTGGGTGTATACCCCAAAGAATTGAAAGCAGAAACACAAACAAGTATTTGTACACCCATGTTTGTAGCGGCATCATTCATAATAGCCAAAAGATGGAAACTAGCTAAGTCCACTGATAGGTAAATGGATAAATGAAATGTGAAATATACTTGCAATGGAATATTCTTCAAACTTAAAAACGAAAGAAATTCTGAAACATCCCGCAGCGTGGATAAACCTTGAAGACATTATGCAAAAGGAAATAAGTCAGTCATAAAAGGACGGATATCATATGATTTCATTCATATGAGGCACTGAGAGGAGTCAAATTCATAGAGATAGAAATAGAATGGTGGTCACAAAGGATTGCAGTGGAGGAGGGGCTGGGGACTTTTGTTTAGCGGATAGAAAGTTTCAGTTTGGGAGATGAGCAAATTCTGGAGATGGATGATGGGGATGGCTGTATAGCAGTGTGAATTTTTTTGTTTCATTTTGTCTTTTGAGACAGGGTTTAGCTATGCACTTCAGGCTGGCCTTGAACTCACTATGTAGCCCAGGCTGGCATCAAACTCGCGGCGATCTTCCTGCCTCAGCCTCCCCAGTGCTGGCATTACAGTTGTGTGACACCATGCCCGGCTCAATAGTGTGAATATGTATAACGCTGCTGAACACAATAATCACATCACAGCCCTTTTTGCCCCAAAGTTTGCTGATTTCACTCAGAGGGAAAACCAATGAATCCTTGAGATCTTATTTAAGGCCCTGTGGGGTCGAGCTGGGCTTGGACTCCTGGTCTCCCTGGTCACTCTGTCCCCGAGAATTTCTGGTGCTTTCCTGACTCAGGGCCCTTGACTCTTCCCCCCACTCCTTACAGCGCGCTTGCCCTGGATCTCCGTGCACTTCTGCTTTCATCTCCGTTACACCTTTACTCACATACGGCCTTCATACCCGCTCTGATCACAGCATGTCCAATCGCCGTTTGTACGTCCCTCCTGTCTGCTTAATTTTTTTTTTTTCCGCTACCGGGAATCGAACTCATGACCTCGCGCTTGCCAGGCAGGCGCTGTGCCGCTGAGCTAAATCCCCAGCCCCTACCTATCTGCTTAAGTTTTTCTCTGAACCTCTGACCACCAACTGGCATGTTGCCTGCTTTCCTTCTTATGTATTTATGTATTCATTTATTTATTTATTTTAATGGTTTTTGCCTGTCTTCACCTGTCCCCCCCCACCAACACCTAAGACGGTGGCTGTCGCGTAATACACATTCCATGTCTGGTGAGTGAGCGGAAGAATTACTGCAACGAGAACGAGGACAAAGGACGAATGTGGAGCAACCTGGAAGGGCTACAGCGAAGATGAAGTGAGGCTGTGAACGCCATTAATGTCCACACTGAAGACCCTGGAACCCAAGGCTTAAAACTCATGGACAGATGAGTCACCAAAGGCTTTTTGTGTAGTGGCTCTGGGG